GGGATCCACTGAGTGCCCACTGCTCTCCATGGCTGCTTTCCAAACAGGAGATCTGGCTTCTGTGACCTTCCAAAGGAAACACTTGGGCCCGAGGGCAGTCATGAAGGAACTAGGCTAGCTAGGTCACCGCTAGCCATGCCGTAGAGGACTCTGTAATCTGCAAGGACAGCCACTCTGGAAATCAGGGATAATATCCAGCACAAGAACTAAATCATCATATGCTATGGCAAGATGCTTTTCCTGCTTGTTGATTGCTGTGTTGCCTGGTTTCTGTGACTCTGGAGGTGGGATGCAGGCCACATCCTGCCTGGAGTTCAGTGGAAAGACAAGGACTGTTCCAGATACAAAGCCTGTGAAAAGGAGCTGGGTTTGCTCAGCTATTTCCAGGCATTTCACTCGGGCAGAGTTGTCCAGTGTGTCACACACCTCACCTGTAAAACAGATGGAAATCAGCTAGAGAGTTCTTACTGCAACTGCATGGGAATGTCTTTCTTCAGATGAGCCTCATGATTGGCTTCTTTATTTGTGAAATAATTTGCATATTATTCATCTTTCCAATTTTCCCATGTCATAATAATAAGCTATTCTAGATAAAAAACTTGGGAGAGGAGATTAAAAAGCTCTCCAGCCCTAAAACAGATTTTCCTAAATCTCATGCTTAGAAAAAGCAGAAAGGAGCAACTATGCTTGTCGTATGCTCAGAAAGCTAACCCTACCTTTGCTGCCTCTGTGAGTTGTTTTGTTTCTATCCTACCCCATATGCAGGCTTAACTTAATGCAGTGTTTCAGAGATGCAGTTCACTTTCCGCGGCATTCCAGATGATGACTTTATGTGTGTCTTCAGGTTGGATAAAATAGACATAGTTCCCGCCACGGGACAGTGCAGCGCAGCCCGTGTTTGGGACAGGTGCCAAGGCTTTCTGCTGATGATTGTAAATGAGATTCCACGCTCCTAGATACGGCGCGCTGTGGGAGGCAGAAACCAAAGTGCAGTCGCACAGGGCTAAGAGTGTTGCTGGTGCTCCCATGCCACCCATAGTGTCAGTCAGCAACCCCTGGTCTGATAAACTCCACACCTGGGAAAAGTTGCAGGGGAAGAAGTCATCAGTGGCTGAGCTACTTTTTCCTTAGTCCTATTTAAGAGGTAAAACAACATACCTTAACTAACTTGTACAGAAACATAAGTAAAATCAAAGAATAACATCCTAATACTAGAAGGCAAAACATTGCTCTCTTACTTTAAAACAAATGTTTGAAGCACCTGGAGCCATTCAGCCCACTTGGTTCCTTTGCTCTGGAAGATCTTTAATTAGGTCCTGCACATTTTGGACTGTACTGTCTGTTTATCTCTTTTTGGCAAGAGATGGTGCTCTAGATGTTGTGTATTCCATCTAGCTCCTGATCACAGATGGGTAACAAAGCAGCTTTTAGGAGTTAAAATTTAAAACATTTCTGAAATGAAATTGTCTTTGAGGCCTCAGGCATACACTGGCTTGAGGCTGGTCCTCTGAATCGATACAGTGTCAAAAAGAAAAGGACAACAGGAAGGCTGGAAGCAATAAAGAGAAGGGTCAACAGTCATCTCCTTTTTAGAAGTGTGACAGTACTAGAAACATTCAGAACTGCAAATCCAACCCCCAAACAGGTTGCTGGGGATCAAGACGACCTCCTTCTTGGATTCTATAAACTGGATTTGTAAGAGATGCTTCTAACTGGGAAGCTGTCCAGCCTTCCTTCCTAGCTGGATAGATACAGCCTGAGAACCAGTGACAATAGTTGTTGCCAGCAGAGATAACAGTCGTATGAACCACTCCTTCATGTTCCAAATCTGCTGCTAGGAACCTGTGGAATCCCTTTGGGTCTGCCAGGTACACTCGCACATACTCCTCAAAGCCTAAAACTATAAAATGTTAGTTTCTGATTTATTGAGCTGAGGAAGTCTCTAATCCCCTTCAATACCATGTCCTTATGCATATGGTTTAATTCCTATGTTTCTTTAAAGGTAACCCCAAAGGGTAGCTTAGAAACCCTAAAAAGTAATCATGCCAGCTTAAGTCCTTTTCACTACTTACATCTCACTTATTCCCTTGAGAAAGTGAGAAGGGGCTCCTGGTACACAGGCACTGTTCTGACTCCGCAAAGAGAACAATCTTGGTTACCCTCTTAAGCACAATAGTTCAAGGCCAGGCTAATAGAAAATTCCACATGCTGGGCCCTCGTAAAGGATACTTGGCATGAGAGCGCAGTTATTACCAACACTTTCCTAAGGAATGGGTGCTATTGAACCTGCAGCAAGAATGAACTCATTTTCTGATGCCATCACAAAGCAAACACTTCCAGGAAGCTTCTCTAGCAGACTGTTTCCATCTGAAGAGGTCTGCAAAAAAATAAGGCAGGAGTAAGACATGAAACTAGGATAGGTGAGCTGCCTCTCTCATGAAGGAAAGAGGATAGACTGGCAGTGAAATTTAACTTTGGCCGCATGGTATTGGACAGAGCTGTAAGGTGCAGAAGGATAGAAAGTGTTATGCTTGTCCATTTGGGAACTACGATATGGAAGTCTGAGGAGGATGCTCTATTCAGAACGGAGGAGCGCCCGTTGGTTACCAGATCTGTTGTCTGGCTCAGTAAACCTCTGGATATTGTAAGAAAATACAAGAAAAACTGTAAGAAAGTTGAACAGATAAATGTGTACCATGGATACAGTTCCCCGCTAAATTCCACCATCATTTTCCCTTGCTTCTGGATCAGAACACTGGACGTTGGCATTTCTTCCTGTAGCCCTGAGAGCTGACATTTGGATCTCAGCTTGCCAGTGATGCTGTTCCACAGACTCAGCATTCCTCGTTCAGACAGAGTCATAATCACCAGCCTTGGGCTGAATACTGCAGAACACATCCATGCATCTGATGCCTCTCCAGAAACCTGGAAGATGAGTTCTGCTGTCTCCAGGTGCCAAGCATTGACCTAGTAAAGAGGTGGCAAAAGAGATAGGTGTAGGGAGGGCTGAGGTAGCTTTTCCGTCTACAACCTTCATGATCGTGGCTGTAACTTCTGCAGTTCATGTTCATTCAGCATGCTTTAAGTTAAAGACTGGCCATACCTCTATATCTGAGGAAGAATATACAATCATGTGCCCCTCATCCACCTGAAGGTGATGTGAGGGCTGTTCTTCGATATGCATGTCCTGGATAATAAACCTTGCTCTGCCAGAAATCAAATTCCAGATGTGCAGACTGTGATCCATGGCAGCTGAAACAGCACGGGTTCCTTTTCCAAACATTTTCATACACCTCACCTCAGCTATAAAGTGAGGAGGATTTGCAAAATCCCTGCAAAATGAGCAGGGATTCTCAGTGCTTTCAGCAATTGGGAGAATGCTAGCAGCTAGGAGGTGTCTGTGTGCCTACAGCTCAAGGATGGCCAAGCTGTCAGAGCTCTTTTCAGATAAGAAAAAGCTTTCCAACCATAAAAAGTGGAAAAGGCTCACCGGAGTGCCCAGGAAGAG